GTGAGCACTGGTCACAAAGCCCCAGCCAAGAGATGACGCGTCTGTGAACACATTGAGCGAGGGCTCGGGCAGGGAGCCAAGGCACTGAAGGGTTTTCAGGGTTCAGCGCCAAGGCACTGAACCCTGAAAAACCCAAAGAGGAAGCCAGCGACGCAGCACCCGATGCAAGGCCCCTGGGGGTCGAACCCAATGGTTATGAGAGAGGCGGAAGGGACGTCCCAGAAGGAACCAGAACAGCTGATGATGCCACACCCAACCAGGCGAGTAGACCATCATAGCAAAGTTCAGGCTCCCGCACAAACTCTCGAGCAACCACCGCGTTATCCGGGAAACCATCAGAAACAGACAAAGGCGGGACCGCAGGTGAAGCAGAGCCACCGGAGGCAGAGACAAAGAAGCGGTATGAGCATCCCAAACCAGACCCGGCCAAGACCGAACCTGAGGGGGAAACAAATGGGACTTCCTCCAGTTCACCAAGAACCCGAACCCGGCGAGCTGGGAAAGAACCAAATCTCTGGCGAGCAGACACGCGGACTGGCTGGGAGCCCAAACCAGCCAGTTGTCGAGGTAGGCCAGAACCTGAACACCTAACAGACACAGGCAGGACACCACGACCCGAGTAAGGCGTGTGAAAACGCGAGGTGCCAGATTCAACCCGGAGGGAAGGCAACGAAAGCGGTAACCTTGATGCCCCACAACAAAACCGAGTCAAGTCCCTGAACCTCAGATGAACCGGGACGTGCCAATACGCGTCCTTGATTTCCAGGGACACCAACCAAGCGCCCGGCTTCAACAGAAGACGGATCTGGGATAGAGTAGTCATCCGAAAGGAGGGGCAATAAACCCATGGGTTCAGACAAGTCCAGAATGAACCGGAGGTCCTCGCGCCGACCAGAAACAGCCGGAACCTCGAGCCCCCTCCCGGAGCCACAACAACTCAGACATAGGCCGACAACTAACTAGGGCCGCCTGCAGGTACTGCACGACAACAGACTTAGCAAATAGCAATGGACAAAAAGGAGAAGACAATTGAAGAGCCAGGGCCCAAGCGGATTCTAAGGAAGAAGTCACCACCGCCTGCCGACACTCGAGGCGAAAAGCATAGAACCGCGAAACTGCATCCCGCAGGACTGACGCAAAGAGCTTCAGCAAGCAGACGACGCCCGCACCGCGGAGGGCAGTGCACCAGACCCGGCAGCGTCCCCAAGCACCCAACATCCAACTCAAGACAGCTCAAGGAGGGAAAAGAACCACAGGGCCAAAGCAAGCAGGCCACGAGTACGCAAATCCACCACCACCAAGGCAGCCAAAAGGAAAGGAACCTGCACATGAAGCTGCATGACACCAACATCCCGAGGAAGGGCAGGGGCAAACAAACAAGCATTCAGATGCTTGAAGTCGCCCCCCAGGAAAACCTGAAACGCCGACCGAGTCTCTCGCCACTCAAGCGGGCGAGACTGACAGAACGTATGCCAAGCCTCCAACGAAAAATGAGGACAGTCTGCCAACCAGGACGACTCCAGAACTTCATAACGAACCCAGTACGAACCAGCAGAGCCATACACGAATGAATGCGGATCCATTATGAAGGCATAATCCGGGGTTGAGCAGGAGGTAAGTCGCCAATGCTTTCCTCACCTCAGAAGACGAGACGCGGGAAGCCGGAAACCTCCGGAAGGACAGAACCGAAGAACCCGCGGGATCACGGAACTGAACCCGGGGAGGGGTGGTGGACACCAAATCCAATTCATATGCGGAGGGAGCGAAAGAGAACCCCTCTCCTTGTAACACCAAGCCCCGCCAGAAGGGCAGAAAAACCCAGGCGGGGTCCAACGGGGCCCAAGGCCCACAAGCCAACCCCTCCCCAACCCCGGGAACTTCGCCCTGAGAACCCGAGCCGAGACGGCTTCCAAACTTCCCACCTCTAAAGAAAAGGCGGGAGCTGCCAAAAAAGCAGGAATGAAGGGCCCCACTGGCCAGATCCAGAAGCTACGGCAAAAGGACCAGGCTTGAATGCACTGCCACAACCCCAGAAGGGGACAACCCCGAGATCGCGCGAGTCTCAACAACAAGCAAACGCCACAGCTGCCTGCACCCGCATACCATGATCAGTGGCTTGGGTGAATGGGAGCACATACAGACAAAACATGTCGCACGACTCCGGGTCAAAACAATCACCGCCCCAACAGGCAGCATGATGGAGCCAAAAGCGGTGAGTGTCACCCTGAGAAAAGAGGACAGAGCAACCTTCAAACTCGCAAGACGTGAGGGGGGACTCATGGGTCACATCCATCGGACCACATAGCCCCAGTGTGGGTTATCCAGGGCCCTTAGCCTTGGATATACGCTAAGGGAAGTCCAGGCAGGGTACTGCGAACTGGCGCCCAAGTCTACCAAACAAACGTCTAAAAGCTGAAGCCCCGGGACGTGTCCACTCACAGAGGCCAAGTGGGGAGGACCACAAACACCGTGAGAATATATAAACCCCAAGAACAGCAACGGGGAACCACAACGGCAGACCTCCCACCTTACCAGGCAAAAAAAAAAAAAATAACAAATAAAAGAAAAACCCTGCAAGAGGACAACGTACCCAGGAGGAACAGAGTCGGCCACTGTTATAGGTGAAAACTAGGTGCAGTACCCCACGCCCATGCCAGTGACAAAAACTACCCCTACCCAGAGACAAACAAGGGCAAGAAAAAACCCAGCTGACCTGAAGGGCAGCCAAAAACTGAGCAGTAATCAGCACAGTGGACGTAGAACCCAAGGTGACTTGTGGAAGGAGGCCCCAAGCCCCAAGGGCAGTACTTACAGGGCACCTAGGGAGGGTGACCCTAGGCGCATGCAGCCCGAGTACCGTGGAATCTCACTCCCGGCTCACGCACCACCTGAAGGAACAGCCCACATCACAAGGCACAGAACTGTAACGGAAAACTGGAGCCAGAGGCATGACCACACCAGACTCCCAACAGCCTAAGAACTGTAGGTTGGGTCGCCGATGGATGGATCTGGGGTTTCCCCTTCCCCCTCCCGGGGAGGGGGGGGGGGGGGTTGCGCAGAGAGCGGTGCGACGACGTGATGACATCATGCTAGTTTGCTAATTTTCATTTGGGGAGTTCTGTCCACCTGTTCGGTTTTTGATCGCAATACTTTTATCAGAACAGGGGTTTGTTTTGGGGTGCCTATCTTGCTCGATGGCAGACATAGAATGTTCTCAATCACAGGTGGGGGGGGGGTCCTCTATAGGCCATTGCTCCTTGTCTCTCTCTAGAGGAGGCCAGGTTCTGGCTCGTGGTCCCCGGTAGGCAAGAACTCCATGCATTGACTGATGCCAGAAAGATATACATATCCATTTAGCCTGGGTAGCTCCCCCATTAAACTAAAAAAGACCTGAAACCAAACTCTGCTAGCTCTTTTCAAATGAAACTGACATGGAGTACAGTACACTCCTATACTGTACAAGCCAAATAAACCAACCTGTCCTCTTTTTTTTTTTTTTTTTTTTTTTTTTTTTGAGATATATACAAGAGTTGTTACATTCTTGTACAGCCACTAGTACGCGTAGAGTTTCGGGCAGGTCCCTGGAATACGATCCCCGCCGCGAAGAATCGTTTTTTCATCCAAGTACACATTTTACTGTTGCGTTAAACAGAGGCTACAGTTAAGGAATTGCGCCCAGTAAATCCTCCCCGGCCAGGATACGAACCCATGACATAGCGCTCGCGGAACGCCAGGCGAGTGTCTTACCACTACACCACGGAGACTCTTTAATAATACATTGAACTCTGACATCAAAATCCCCCCAAATGACAAAATGTGATGTATTATAAATCATAGCAGCTCACAAACATTCATATTTTCTGTGTATGGATCACTCAGTTAAGTTAATTTTGATTTAGGTGTTTTAGTACACCATTTTCTATTCGTTGTGGCAGCTTAAGAAGTAAAATTTTTCATGTATTTATACAACAGGTTGAATAATAAGCACATAGTAAAGAGAAGTACCCTATCAATGCAGCCCGTTCATGCAAGTGTTCCCAACGTCAAGAAACCATCTTATTAAAGTGCCCTGACCTAACCAACCAGAAGACCCACGAACAGAAAATGGGAAATTGTAAATTTCACGAGTCACTATAATTTTGTTGTACATCAGTTTCTGGCCTTTGGTAAAGCATACGTCAAATGTGATGTGCTATAAAGAGAACAGAGATCAATCAATTGAACTAAGAATTCAAGTAATCAAGAGAACAATGATCAGATAATACTGGGTAGCTGTTAGGACGCTAAATTGTTTGTGCGTTCTCTTGTGATCATTAACTACAACTCACACACTCACATGAGCTTCACTCACAAAAAGGAGGAAATAAGAATTTGCAAGTTACTAAGGGCAAGAAAACTATACTATGAAAGTGTCACCACAAGAAAAAACATTATTTATTTATTTATTTATATATACAGTATATATAAGTAAGTATATTAGGCTTATGAGAGTACATAGCATTAATGTTTTTACATTTTTGTAAAGCCACTAACATGCATAGCGTTTTGGGCAGGTCCTTAATCTAACAGATAATTTTAAGTAGGTAATTACTAGCTAAATTGAAAATACATTTGAAATACTTTCAAAACATTCAAAATACAATCATTCATTTCAATACATATATACAATGAATACAATACATACATACATACATTCAATACACACACAATACATACATATATTCCATACACACATACCGTACATTCAATACACACACACACATACATTCAATACACACAATAAATACATACATTCAATACACACAATAAATACATACATTCAATACACACAATAAATACATACATTCAATACACACAATAAATACATACATTCAATACAATACATATATTTAACATTTTTACACTCAAAATACTCTTACCTTGCTAGCTTTTAAAAATACTTTTGAAAATAGCTGAAATGCATTAACTTCAACAAGGAATATTTGTTGCCATTATATTACCTGAAGAAATCGAAGGTGCTCCTTAAGTTGGTCTGGATTATCTTTTAAATAGGCCTCAATGTGCAGGAGGGCCCGAGAGTATGCTTGGCACTTAAATGATGTCTGTGCTAAAAGGTTAGCTGGAATCTTCTCAAGGAAACTGGTCATCTAAAGTGAATGAAGATAGGAGAAAAATGTAAACATATTAATAAAATATATAGTGCATATACTCTCTCACTCAATCTCACACACACACACACACAAGTTCTTTCCCAAGAGGCAGACAAGAGGAGCTCCAGCATATTTCAACAATCCTAAGTATTGTAGTACAGGATGATGATAGTGAGTGGTGTCCCAGAGTACATAAAGGTATAGTGCTTTTGAAAAATAGGTGAGATAACAGGAATGTGCCAAGGGAAGTGAAAAAATTGGATGAGAAAAAGTTGCCCTAGTGTTTCCAGTGTAGAGAACAACATTCAAGATGGCCGCCGGCAAGAGGAAATACAAAACAGAGTTTGATTTTGTTGGATTCAGTGAAGAAAGCATTGATATAACCAGTCTATACAACAAGTTGGTAAAATTAGATACTATAGTGACCTCTCATGTAGAAATAATTAGTAAATTGAAAGAAAGTAATGACCATTTAAATAGCAAAGTTGTGTCTTGAGGGTTTAGTGAAAGACTTGCGCAAGGATAAGAATCAATTGGAAACAAATTGCAAAGCCATGGAAGAAAATAGACTCTTAAAAATAGCTTTGGAAGAAGTTAAAGTAAATTTAAACATAAATGACTACAATAGGTTAGGTTAGGAATTTCAACAGGAGAAACAGCTTTTGTCAGCACATATGGAGTAAGTTACACAGGGAATAGAAAAGTGCAAGAAAGATATGCAACTCACTTATGCACAAGTGGCCAAGGAGAAGGAAAAAATAGAAGAAGCAGTTAAGGAAGTCAAACACTGCAGCAACCAAGATAAAACAAACATTAGGCTAGAAGTGAGAAAAGAATTGGCATCTAACCCGAAGTTGGTGCAAAACACAGTTGATCGGAGTAAGTCCCTGATCATTTTTGGCTGCAAAGAAAAGGAGATAACATCTAGGTCAGAAAGAGCTGTAAAAGAAGCAAAAGTAGTAGATAAAATTGTTGGCCTCGTGGAAGGTCTTACAACCATAGAGAATGTGTGCGACTACAGGAAAATAGGCAGATATGTAAAAGGGAAAGATCGACCTTTGAGGATCACCCTAAATGGTGCCAAACAGATGGAAGAAGTACTAAGGAATGCTAGAAAATTACAAAGTGATGAGGACGGGAAAGTGTGGTCGTTAAGATGAGATCTTTCAAAAGAAGATAGAGAGAAGCTGAAACTGAACCTTGCCGAGGCAAAACGTTTAAATGAGAGCAGGAATGAAGAAGAAATCAATTCTTTTTTCTACAAGATGATAGGGGTAGGCAGACCAGTAAAGTGGTACATAAAGGCAAACCAACAAAATCATTAGAGAGAGGGGGAGTGAAAAATAAGAAGAGGGGAAACAAGTTCCTGAAGATTGCATACACCAACATAGATGGAGTAAGATTGAAGCTACTGGAGTTAAGTGATGTAATACAGCTGCAGACACCAGACATTGTTGCACTCACGGAGACAAAACTTGAAGATGTTATTTTAAATGAAGTCATATTCCCAAGGGGCTACTCAATTTGGAGACGGAACAGAAAAATTGGGAAAGGCATTGGCGTTGCTGTGCTGGTGAAAGAACACCTAAAGGTGAACGAAATAATGACTGCCAATCCACAAGAAGTTGACATAATAGCACTAGAGATCTGCCATGAGGATGATAAACTAATGATCATAAATGCATACAGTCCACCGCTAAGTAGCACATGGTCAAAGGAGCTAGATAATAAAAGAGAAGGTCTTATAACAATAATGAGAGAGATCATAGCGAGAGCGGATAACGATAGTTCACGACTGTTGATAGTCGGCGACTTCAACTTGAAAGCCATAGACTGGGAAGCATATGAAGCTAAAACAGAAGATTTCTGGACCTGTAAATTTGTAGACCTCATCCTGGAAACATTCTTGTATCAACATGTTAAACAAGCTACGAGGATGAGGGAAGGGGACGTTCCCTCCATGCTAGATTTGATATTTACCAGGAAGGAGGCAGAAATATTTGACATTTAGTACCTTCCTCCCTTCGGTAAAAGTGACCATGTCATTTTGGGAATAAAGTTTGCAATGCATTATAATCTGGAAGAAAATATGAAGGTTGATGCAATTGAAAAACCTGACTTTAGGAGAGGACATTATGGCAACCTTAGAATTTTTTTTAGTGGGTATAATTGGACAGACTTGTTGCTAGGCAAGGAAGTGAATGAGATGTATGTCAAGTTTTGTGAAATATATGATGAAGGCATAAAAAAATTTATACCAAAACAGAGAAGCAGAACTAGGAAACAGGATTGGTTCAACAGAAAGTGCGAGAGGGCCAGAGACCAAAAAGACACAAAAATGGAATCAATACAGGAAGAGGCCAAACTCCCAAACATACCAGCGATACAAAGATGCGAGAAACAACTACACGGCAGTGAGGAGAGAGGCAGAAAGAAATTTTGAAAGAGGGATTGCAGACAAATGTAAAACAGAACCAGGTCTATTCTATAAATTCATAAACAACAAATTGCAGGTAAAGGATGATATACAGAGGTTGAAAATGGGAAATAGATTCACGGAAAGTGAAAAGGAAATGTGTGAAACATTAAACGAAAAGTTCCAAAGTGTGTTTGTACAAAATGAAATCTTCAGGGAACCATATACAATAAGAATTCCAGAGAACAACATAGAGCACATAGAGGTGTCTAGAGACGAAGTGGAAAAAATGCTCAAGGAGCTAAATAAGAACAAAGCAGTTGGTCCAGATGGAGTTTCACCATGGGTTCTGAGAGAATGTGCACCTGAGCTCAGCATTCCTCTTCAACTGATTTTTCAGGCATCCGTGTTTACAGGAGTTGTAGCTGATGTGTGGAAAAAGGCTAACATAGTTCCAATCTACAAAAGTGGAAGCAGGGAAGACCCCCTTAACTTAATAGACCGGTATCATTGACAAGTGTAAGTCAAAATATTGGAAAAAATAATTAAAACTAAATGGGTAGAACACCTGGAGAGAAATGATATAATATCAGACAAACAGTATGGTTTTCGATCTGGAAGATCCTGTGTATCGAATTTACTCAGTTTCTATGATCGAGCAACAGAGATATTACAGGAAAGAGATGGTTGGGTTGACTGCATCTATCTGGACCTAAAAAAGGCTTTTGACAGAGTTCCACATAAGAGGTTGTTCTGGAAACTGGAAAATATTGGAGGGGTGACAGGTATGCTTCTAACATGGATGAAAAGTTTTCTGACTGATAGAAAAATGAGGGCAGTGATCAGAGGCAATGTATCGGACTGGAGAAATGTCACAAGTGGAGTACCACAGGGTTCAGTTCTTGCACCAGTGATGTTTATTGTCTACATAAATGATCTACCAGTTGGTATACAGAATTATATGAACATGTTTGCTGATGATGCTACGTAGGCTGATTGCTACGGGAAGCCCGGGCTAGGTGTTGCTAACCGGTTAAGAAACCAAAAATAACAAGAGGGTAGAGGATAGCACTGAAAACCCCTGCGACGTGTACAATCACGGGGGCCTAGCAGAGGGCCACTAAACACTACCAGTGGAACTATAGCCACACTAGGCAGACCCCCACCAGGCAAATGAAAATAAAAACAAAAGAAAAACCCCGCAAAAGTACACTGTCTCCAGAGGCAACAGGAGCCGGTCGCCGCTTAAGTGGCAGGCTGCGCAACACCTTGACGCCCTAACCAGCACAATACCAGGGCCAAACAAGGACCCCAAGCCCCAGCTTGCCCCAAGGGCGAGGCAAATGCCGAGCAGCAAGAACCTCTACGGGAATGGTTCCCGAACGCCCCAGGGAGGATAACCCTGTTTCGCAGGGGCAGTACTACCGGGGCGCTTAGGGAAGGAAGCCCCTAAGCGCATGCAGCCCCGGCACTGATGAGGTACTCCTGGCCACCACACAACACACGGCAGTGAACGCCACACAAGGCAAACACCGCCTAGGAAACTGAGGCTAGAGAAGCGTCTATCCTGGTTGACAATAGCTTACAAACTGAAGCTAGGCAGCCGGCGCGGTAGGTCCGGGGCTCCCCCCTCCCCTTCTCGGGGCGGGGAGGGCTGCGCGGACGATCGGCGCAGCAGTAAAGTGTGTTGTTTGATTGTTTGCTTGTTTCCTTGTGATTGTAGGAGTTTCTACCTCTCTGTTCGTTTTTTTATTTTAGTTTTTTACCACGTGGGGTTTGTTTTGTTATGGCCTACCTTTCTGGGTGCCTAACCCCGGTCGATGGCAGATAAGGAAAACCCCAATTACAAGGGGGTTTTCCAGGGCCATTGCTCCCTGAAACCACTCTGAAGGGGCCACGTTCTGGTGCTGGTTCCTGGTAGGTCTGAACTCTTTAGCTAACGACCCGGTCTAATATAACATACATTAGCCTGATAAGCTCCAGGGTGCCGTAGGGGCTCCCCACAGAAAAGGGGCGAAGAACGGAGAAAAGCACCCACCAACAGGACGGAAGCAACGGGCATAATGGACAAGGAACCGAGCCTGGGGAGGGGCCGATGCCCAAGTACTCACGCGGAGACTGGGGGGGGGGGGGGGAAGAAAAACCCCACTCCACAAAACCGCAAGCCCACCCAGAGGGGGTAGAAAAACCCCGGCAGGGTCCAACGGGACCTGAGACCTCCCCACGGCAGCCCCACCCAAGCCCCGGGAACCCACCTGGTAGGCCCCAAGGCCGAGCCGTCCCCCCCAAAGCCCCAGCCTCAAGAAAAAACCGGGGCCCAGATGGGCACATGTATAAGCAAGTAGATGGCGTCACCATGGGTTCTCCCCTAGGTATCGTGTTTGTGAACTTCTACATGGGTATCATCGAACAGAAGGTCTTAGTTGACATGAACTTGAAACCTGCCATATACTGCAGGTATGTTCATGACATTTTTACACAGGTACCTGATGTCAAACGTCTGCAGGAGCTCAAGGAGGCATTCGAGCGGAATTCTGTGTAGTTTCACTGACGAGATGGAGAAGGATGGGAAGCTGCCCTT